AAAATCTTTAAAAATAAATAAATAAATAAATAAAAATCTGAAGTTTGAACATCTGGGTCAGTTATGTTCATTTCGTCATAGGTATAATTTGGTAGAAAGCAAAAGAAATGTAGAACCAACCCACACCCTACTTTTCCAGGAGCTGAGAGTGGACTCAACTCCTGCTCAACAGAAACGCAGAATAGCAGACTCTGATTCTAGCTGTCCCATACCACCAGGAAGATCTCCTAGGGGCATCAACAACATGCTATTTCTATATTCCTTGTCAACCATTAACCCCACCATCTCCACTTCACCTTTGGAATATGAACTAGGCTAAAGGTTCAAGAAGGCCTCCGGTGGTCAAGTATGAAACTTACGAGGGTACATGTTCATACACATATGTACGAGTGCATGGCTGAGGATCTGCCAGTAGATTGTGGTGAAGCAAAATCCTGATGGCCCACTAGTGCTCTTACCTTTATCCAGCCATTCAGCAAAACTGTCAACTCAGCAGGTAAAGGCGGAAGAGGACAGAACCATCATTAAGCACAAAATTGCCATGTGTATTATGTACACACTTGTAACAAACCCTTCATCTTCTTCTACTCCTTCTCCTTATGACACGGTGTCAAAGCTTATAAAGAGAGTAGAGTATATGAAATATACATATACTAAGGGTGTGTATCCTAAAAGCACTGCAATGGCTGCCAATGGGGACAGAACAGGAATGAAGACTGGCCATGAAGAGGAAGAGAATGAACAAATTAAAACCAATGGTGGGTTTGCTGTGAAGAGAAGATTATATTCCACTCTTTTTCCTCCCACACTTCCCATCCCAGCACCAATGCCACGACTCAAGCGGAAGGAGGGTGACATGGGCAAGTCACTTCAGAAGAGCAGGATAACACCATCCAGGGTAGGATGCCCCAGAGAGCAGTGGGATGGAGGGAACAGAGTGGAGGAAGGGAGAGAATAAAACCACCTACTTTTCCACTGCAATAGCAGCTTCTTCAAAAAGCTCCTCCTGGCAGTACATTTTGAGTGCTAGATCGAATTCCTGAATCTGCTCAAAGCATCTGAAAGCATCTTTGTAGCACTGGCTTCGCTTATAGTAACAGGCAGCATCTTTTATCTAGGACAGAGTAAAACATACTCTTTGAGTATTCATAGCATAACCTTTTATCTTAAAAATAAGCCAACACCATGAATAGTATTGTCTGCTGTTAGGATCCAGTGAAAAACACTAAGACATAGGTAATATTAGGAAAACAAATTCTTTATAGGGAGAAAAACAAAGTTAAATCCCAACCTCACACCATACACAAATTTAACCTTTAGATAGGTCAAAGATCTAAATGCGAAAACTATTGGAAGAAAATGTATGACAATTATCTTTGTGACCCTGAGGTAAAGAAAGTCCTCAACAAAACCCAAAACACTCAAACATCAGGGGAAAAACTGATGGTTTCAATTATATCATAACTGTTGAACAAAGGGCATGTGAAACAAAGTTAACAGAGAGAAGACAAACATTAACATCTAGACCAGCACTGTCAAATAGATCTTGCTGTGAAGATGGAAATGTTCTACAACTATGCTAGCCAATATGGTAGCCACTAGCCACGTGTGAAGAGTAAGTACATGAAATGTGGGTAGCGTAAAGGAGGAACCAAATTTTTTATTTCATTTCACTTTCATCAGTTTTAACCTTATTTTCCACCTGTGGTTAATGGCTACTCTATTAGACTGGACAGGTCTAGAACATTAAATGGATTCCTACAATCACAAGAAAAAGACTCCTGGAAACCCAGCAGAAAACTAGGTAAAGGATATAAAGTGGCAGGTCACGGTGGAGGGAAACTTGAATGACTAACAAATCAATAAAGATGCTCAACCTCACTAATAAAGAATTGTGAATTAAAACCACAGTGAGACACATCCATGAAGTCTGCAAAAATTAGAAAATCAGAACCCACTGAATGTGGTCAAAAAGGTGGGGCACATGGAACCCTAATGCACAAACTGGCACCGCTGTTCTAGAAAGAAAAGTGGCTTCCACTTTCACCTAGTGAAATTAAGTACATGCATACCCTAGGGCCAGCAAGCCCACTTCTGGCAGCACCCAGGACTGGAAGGAGACACACTACGCCACAGTCCTGTATGTGGCAGCAGGGAGTTGGTGGTAACTTGGACGTTCACCACTAGCGAAATGGATAAGTCAAAGGCAGGGATGCCCGTTCTGGATTACTATCAGGGGTCAGAAACCTGGCCAGACCTTAACACTATAGCAGGGCGTGGAAAAAGTTAAAAAAAAACAAAAACAAAAACAAAAAACAGAAAAATATGCCATTTAAATAAGCTTAAAATATATATATAGAAAATATTACTATTTGCTCTTCACTTAAGCATGCAAATGGGGGCTTCACATTAAATGCACTGGAATGGCTGCCGGTGAGGAGAGAATGGGAACGGACAGCAACCATGAAGAGGAAGAGGACGAACAGACGAAAACCACCAGTGGGTTTGCCATGGACACAAAATTCTATCCCACTCTTCCTCCCACACTTCCAGCCAGCCCCTCGGGTAATACTTTATGCTTGGCTCTCCCAACGTTTGCCCAAATTCCCTTCCCACCACCTCCAGCACCCTCATGGCAATCCAAGCCACACCATCCAGCCTTGGCCTGTTCCCCACTGGCCTGTCTGCTTCTACTTTTGCTGCCTACACACCTCCTCCCAGAGCATCCAAACAATGAGCTCCATGTCGCTCCTGCGGCCAGAACCTTCCACCAGCTCCCTGTTACCTCTGGACAAAATCCAGTCCCGACCATGGACTTTGAGGCCCTACCTGATTTGCTCCTGCCACCCTCTCTTGCTCATTTTACCACTTCTACCCATTCACTCTGTTCTGGCCCAACCAGCTCTCTTACTGTTTCTCGAGCTCCCCGACACACTCCCACCTTGGAGGGCTCTTGCCTGCAAGGATGCTTGGCCTGCGATGCCCTGCAGCACTGCTCACAGTCTCTGCTCAAAAGGCAGCTCCCTTAACTATAGAGAACAAACTGAGGGTTGGAGGTGGGTGGGGGATGGGCTAGACGGGGGATGGGGATTAAGGAGGGCACTAGTGATGACGGGCACCCGGTGTTATATGTAAATGATGAACCACTGAACCACTCTACTCCTGAAACCAATATTGAACTGTAGGTCAACTAACTAGAATTTAAATTTAAAAAAAGAACAAACAAAAAAAGGCAGCTCCCTGCCCACCCCCTGCCTAAAACAGCGGCACCTGACACCTCTCTCCCCTGGTCACTTGGTCTCATCAGCACGGGCATCTCCTATGCTTCTGGCTAGTCTGTCATCCCTCTCCCACACTAGGAAGGCAGAGGCCCCTGCATTGCCACCTGCTGGCCACTGAGCACCCAGAGTGCCTGGCACCCAGTAAGGGCCCATCTCTTCATGTTGAATATTTCATTTCAAAATTCTACTTGCGGCTCCTGAGGTCCAAAGAAAACAAAATCAAAGTGAAACAAGACAAAACACCTATGCTAGACCCTCTAGTAAATCTGAGCTGGCTTTTATTTCTCTAGACAATCTACACCAAGTGCCAAAATACAAAGAAGATTCAGGTATGAGGTTCTTCTATGTCCAGAGACCTTACAGAGCAGGGAGCATCTAGACCCATCTCAGCCACATGAATACAACCCCATAACCAGAGCACCTACCACCCCATCTCTTGTCCTCTCCTGACGATGCTGATTACTCAGAAGGAAAACCCCCAAGTGGGAATGCACGTCCTCTTAGGTGCCAAGCTTGTGCCCAACCAGAGAGAGAACAGAGGGCTGGCTCTAAGCGGCAGCCCCCCGCTCTGCATGTCTGCTCCCTGAGGGGAAGGGTCCCCACCTGCCATCCAGAGCAAGGGCCTTGAGAGGTTTCCAGGGAAACCAATGTCTCTCTCAGGCAAGAAACAGGTGAGGCAGAGGAATCCCTGCAAAAAGAGTCTTATACCCCCAGGGCCACCTCACAAACATTTCTTTGCGGGGGTAGCACACATCTGGGGGCTGGGAACACGGAGGCAATTTGGTCTAAGGATGTTGACAAAGACTGCTGCCAAGCTGATCAACTTGAATTGTGCTGGTTAGTTTGGTGGGAGGATCACATGAGGTTTGAGGCTGGCTCAGGTTGGACCCCCTTCCAGGGAGGAGCCTGAGCAAAGAAAGAGATCAGCCCCTTCCCTGGGTGGGGCTTGGAGCTGCTAGAACATACTGGGGAGAGGAAGCAGAAGAGGCTGCCACCAGAGGTCAGGCCTGTGGAAGGGGAAGGAAACAGGGAAGGCTGTGTTTCCAGGAGCAGAGTGGCCTCCACATTTTGAAGACACTGAAGTTCCGAGGAAGGGAACATAGGCTGTACTAATGGCCTACTGGTCCCTGGGCCTCCTATTTTCCGAGGAAGAGCTTGCCAGGCTAGGGGTGGGGGGGTAGGCAACGTGAGTAAGGAGAAGATCTCTGACTCAGTCATGGCAGGCACTGGTACACAAAAAGGGGACACAAAGGCTTAGGCTGGTTCCCTGTAGCCATCACCACTTAGGGTCCATGTGGTGGCATGGGAGACTGAAGGGTTGGCGACCAAGGAACATGGTAAGGTTGGAAGCTATCCTAGTTCCTAGGATCTTAGGACCCAAACTCCCACCTGCCCTGAAATCCTTATCCCATCCCCATCTCCCACACCCTAACAAGTCACATCCCCTAATAAACAGGGAGCAGGGCAGGCAGCACCAGGAGGGCCTTACGATCTTTACACGGACTTGGGGCCACACTTCAAAGTCCCCGGTAAGTGCCACCCCCACCCCACCCAATGCCCAGGGTGCTCTGAGGATCCAGGAGCTACCACATTTCACAAAGAGATGTGGAAACCCACCCCCCTCTTGGAGGGGCATAAAGCCCCTACCCCCGGGGCGGGGAGTTCAGCAGCCCCAGCTGAATCGTGTGAGGTACAGGACGGTGGCTGTAGTTACCACTGTATTGTATATTTGAAAGTTACTAAGAAAATGGATCTTAAAAGACCTCATCACAAGAAAAAAAATTTTGTAACTCTGTATAGTGATGGACGTTAATGAAACTTGCTGTAGTGATCATCTCACAATACATACATGTATCAGATCATTAGTTGTATACCCCTAACTGATATCATTTTACATGCCAATTATATCTCAATGAGAAAGACAAAGGAATCACTAAAAAAATCATCACCGATTGGAGGTTACGGCAATGCCAAAGTGCTGTAACAGTCTCTCACTGGTTACTTTCATCTTCTGTGTTAATCTTGTTGCAGACAAATAAAAATCTGTGGCCCACCACCAGCCTGCCGACCACTCTGTGAGTAGCTAAGTTCTAATCAGCGGCTATATCCGACAGCGCTGTGATGATGGAAATATTCTAGAACAATGAGCACTTGAAGTGTGGCTAGTGAGACTGAGGAACTGTATTTGTAATTTTATTACATTTTCATTAAATTATAAATTAAATAGCCACGTGTAGCTAGTGGCTGCCAGATTGGTTGGTGCACATATAGAACAATTACTGAGAACACAGAAAAACCACTACGTCAATGCCCAGGCCATTCACACAGGCAGACTCCAGACCGAACATGGAGGACGGGAAGGCAGGAATATTCCAAAACCCACCTCCCCTTTGATTTGAACAAATGGGGGCGCCTGGGTGGATTAGTGGTTAAGCGTCTGCCTTCGGCTCAGGTCTTGATCCCAGGACCCTGGGATCGAGCCCCGCATCGGGCTCCCTGGTCAGCGGGAAGCCTGCTTCTCCCTCTCCCACTCCCCCTGCTTGTGTTCCCTCTCTCGCTGTGTCTCTCTCTGTCAAATAAATAAATAAAATCTTTGATTTGAACAATTGGCCTTCCTGTGATTAACATCAGGTCGCAAACGTTCACACAGATGTGGACACGCATGCGCACACACACATCTCTGGAGCCACGTAAACACTCGGGCAAGCGGAGAAAAGATGGCTGCCCTATAGTCTTCAGAGCCGACCTCTCCCTCTTTGGAGGCCCAGAGCCCCTCCCTGACTCAAGCAGGGGCTGAGGGAGCCCAGGTCTCCCAGCGGAATGCAGGCTAGGCCCGTACCTTCCCCAGCCTCTCGCACAGCTGGGCGGACAGCTGGAACTCCTTGGCGTAGCTCAGGCACTTAAGGGAAAGCTTTGGCTCCTTGCACTCCAAATAGGTCTTGGCCAGTTCCAAGTACTCCACCTGCTTCTCCCTGGAAGAGGGAGAGAAAACAGAGTACCCATGGAATGGTGACCTAGCCCCAACAGATCCCACCAGCCGATCTCACCAGAGCGGCCCTGAGATGACCCCCAAGACTCTTACTTGGGGCTGACTTTCTTGGATTTCATGTTCAGGGCGGTGTTATGGGCCAGCGCCAACTTCTCCTTCTCAAATGCACCTCCTTTCTGGTAACACTTGGCGGCAACCTAAAAGAGGCAAAATGTCTTGATTCCCAGCAAGGGAATGGAGGTGACATACAGAACAAGGGTTAAAGCACACGTGCCATGTTTGCACTGACAAGGCAGTGAGTCTCATCCCACATCCCAGCCCAGCCTGTGGGGGAGCAGGAACGTGCTGATGAGCTAAAAAAAAAAAAAAAAGGCCTCACAGGATAAAGCCCAATAATGTTACCCCCGAACACTTCCCACTCAAAGGTTCCTTTTGAAAGCACCCAGAGAGGTGCCTGGGTGGCTCAGTCGGTTAAGCGTCTGCCTTTGGCTCAGGTCATGATCCCAGGGTCCTGGGATCGAGCCCTGCATCGAGCTCCCTGCTCAGCGGGAAGCCTGCTTCTCCCTCTCCCTCTGTTCCTCCACCCCTGCTCGTGCACATGCTCTGTCTCGCTCTCTCTCTCAAATAAATAAGATCTTGAAAGTGCCCAGAATCCATGGAAAAGCTATACAGGATATATTTTTATAAGCCGCCATAATTAACACCCTCACTTAATCTTCCAATAGCCATGTGTGAGAAGTTTCATCCTTCTCATTGTATATACAGTAACAAAAACACAGAGCCGTGGGCCCAAAGTCACCCAGTGGCTCTTCTGGGCCCCACACAGGTTCTCTCTAGACGGTAACTATAATGGCTAACCAACAGTCTTGGTGAAACAGCCACAGCACAGAAATGGGGGTAGGGATGGGGATGGAGATGGTGTCACCACACATCCCAGAAGGTAACTGGCTAGAGCCCTGGGTCATGCAGGTCTGTGTTAGCAGGTACAAAGTGGGCAGACGAGTATCACAGGAATGTTGCCTGGACCCCCATTCCTGCCAGCAGAAAGCTGCTTTTCTAAAGCAGGAATGCTGACACCATGTCTCAACGCACAGGCTATAGGGCAGAAAGTCACGTCTGGTCCAGCATGTAAAGATTAGGTCTCAGTGTGGGCAAGGGAAGGATTAAGTAGACAAGATGACATCTTGTTCCCTCAGGCTCTTTGCTTCAGCTTCCCCAGCCTCATGGGCCTCCTTGCATTCCCATGACCTGTGCCACACTCTTTCCCACCACAGGACTTTTACACATGCTACTCCTTCTGATTGAAATGCTCTTCCACCCCTTCTCTGTCCAGTTAACTTCATTCATCCTATAGGCCTTAGCTCAAGGCTCCTACTTAGAGCAGCCTTCCCTGGCCTCCCTGTCCAGGACAGGTGGTTCTAGGAGCAACTGGTCTCTCCTCTGTGATACCTGCAACAGCTGGGGCTGGACACTCTTCTGAGTGCCTGTCCCGCTCACCATCACATCCCTGCAACCTAAACACGGTGTTTGGCCCACAGCTCAACAGGAATTTGTTGAATGAATCAATCTCAAGTGATTGCCATTTCTATGGTGGTTCTGGAACATTCACTGACATGCAGCCAAAAACTTAATAAACCACCTGAGTCCTGAAGCCCTTTAGCAGAATCAAAATAAAATCAGGTGAGGGGAAGGCTTTTTATAACATTCTCATCTATACCAATTCCCATAAAAAAAGGATTTTAGATTCAAACGTTCAAAAGCCTCTTGTAAAGGGATAAAGAATTGGAAATCCACGGGCAACACATATGGGTTAACACCAACAGTGTTCTGAAAGGAATAAAGGGAAAGGCTATCTAGTTTTCCGATTTCATATCCATACCTGCTGGCCATATTATCCCGCCCTTCCCTCCCTGCTCCTCCCCCGAAAAAGGATCTTGGTTTTACAGCAGCAGCCAAGTTTTAACAAGGATGGGCAGAGAAGAAAGTTTCAGAGCTCCGTCAACCTCCAGCCGCTAAATACTACAGATTTATGCAAACGCTTGGCAGACACGCCCAAACACACAATGGCGCGCATTCTGTTCTCTCACCCTTTAGGGCTGACTGCAAGGTGGCGACAGTCCTTCAGTTCTCCCTGTTTCCACCCACGCCCCTTTACCGTGTAATTCTGCAGCTTCTCCCACCCATGCATAGACATGCTGCCTATGACCCCTCCCTTCAGATCTGAGCCATGACCTGCTCAGGCCAACAGAATGTACCAAAAGCGACAGAGGGCCAGCTCCGAGGCCAGGCGTCAGGGGGCCCCCTATGCTCCTCTGCTCTTTGAACGCTGCTGGGGCACCAGGTGAACAAGCCCAGGCTCACCCGCTGGAGGATGAAGTGCACGTGATTCAGGAACCCCATTCACGCCGATCATCCAAGCCAAGAGCCGACCAAGCCCCAGAAGCAGACCTGCTTGCGGACTGGTTGCTGAGTTCAGACGTGGGTCACCCGGCTGAGACTACAGGAGCCACTCCGCTAAATCCGGCTGTTGGTTACCGGCCCACAGGGCACCCCTCTCCCTCCCTTGCGTGATGGCAGAACCTGCCTCCGACGAAGGGCTGAAACTGCAGGATGGGACTGCTCTCCCAGACTCCCTGGCAACAGGCATGGGCACGTGACCTAGTACCGAGCAGTGAGATGTAAGGAGAAGTCCACGGGGGACTTCACGATAAAGAGAGAGACCCCCAAGAAGAAAAGCGTCCACCCTTCAGCCCTGCTTGCGAAGCTGCCAAGGGAACAGGCTGCATGACCTGCTGCAGTCATTGTGCTTCTGACAAGCCGCAGATGACACAAGGAAGAAATGGAACAAGACAGGGCCCGTGATGAGTTTGTTGAGCTGAAGGTGTCTGTGCCTTGCAGGGGGAGACATCATCACCACTGCATCCTGGGAAACACACATGCCACGGTGCCCGACCGGAAACTGTGTGATGTGTAGGGATGACCGTCGGGAGAGGGATGGGGCTCTTCACACTGGTTTCATTATTTCCAGAGGACTGGCAGAGATAACACTAGCTGGAAGAAGGCTGCTCAAGCTCACTAGGATGGCTTGTGGCCCAGAATTGGTCAACTGAGTCTAGTGATGAAGCTTAACCCCTGCTCACCAGACTCAGCTTGGCAGTCAAGTCTATGTCAGATCAAATTTGAAAAACGTAAAAAACAAATGACCAATCTGTGAATATTTTAAAATGCGGTGGGACGACAGCAAAAATGTTTAAACACAGAGCACAAGAAGGAAAGAAAATAAGCAGAGGGGTTTGTCGGCGGGGCAGAGGTCATGACCCTCCATTTTCCTGCAAGTCATGCCGACACTTGGCCACGGTGGAAGGTTGTCATGCTTGCCCTGGAGAAGGAGCTGGGCAAGGAGCTCTCCTCATCGCAGGGCAGCCTGATGTTTCTGAAGAAGCACAGGCACCACAGCCTTCGCCCTAACCTGCTGGCAAGGATGATGGTGGAAAACCTGCCTGTGAGGCCTGATGAGGTCACCAGTCACAAAGACCTCCCCCACTGGCTCCCAGCCCGGCTCCTTACCTTCCAGCACTGGTGTTTAGCGTAATAATCTCCTTGTGCGATCCACTCCTCAGGCGTTGAGGTCTTAACAAACATACTGTCATCAAAGTCTAAAATGAAAAAAAAGTGGGTTTGCTTCTCTGGGTGTTCATTCCCTTAAACTTGTCCTTATGGGCTGAAGTCTGCCCCCTCCCCACCCCAAAAATGCATATGTTGAAGCTCAATGCCTCAGAATGTGGACTATATTTGGAGGCAGGGCCTTTAAAGTTGTGATGAAATTATAACAAAGCCATTCAGGTGAATCCTAGTCCAATCTATGTCCTTACAAGAAGAGGAGATTAACACACACAGAAAGAGACACCAGGGGCTCACATGGAGGAAAAGCCATCTACAAGCCAAGGAGAGGGGCCTCAGGAGAAACCAAACCTGCTGACACCTTGATCTTGAACGTCTTGCCTCCAGTACTGTAAGACAATACGGTTTGTGGCTTTATTACAGCTGCCTGGCCAAACAAATACACCTGTGTTGTCTTTCCAGGATTCATTTTTTTTTTAATTTTTTATTGTTATTTTAATCACCATACATTACATCATTAGTTTTTGATGTAGTGTTCCATGATTCATTGCTTGTGCATAACACCCAGTGCTCCATGCAGAACGTGCCCTCTTTAATACCCATCACCAGGCTAACCCATCCTCCCACCCCCCTCACCTCTAGAACCC